AGAGGAATTGTTCTGGGGGACAAAACAATGGATTTTTTTGCATAAGAAAAGACGGCCTATTGTTTTGTGCCCCAGAACAATAGACCAGTTTCTAATTGCAAATTACCGCTGTGTTCCTTGATTACAGACTCATTTGCACAGGGTTAGCCTCGTAACAGTGTTTRGATATTCACAAATACCAACAGAAAAGTAAAGAATGCACAACTTCAACAATACAAACACTTTGAAACTCGACGGACCTTGACTGGAACACGTAAATATTCTTCACAAAATCGAGGTTAACCCTGTGCAAATGAGTCTGTAATCAAGAAACACAGCGGTAATTTGGAATTCGAAACGGGTCTATTCCTCTAGGAATTCAATGCAAGGGGTCTATAACCCTTGAGTAGAATAATATTGGTTGCTGGGTGCCAATATCACCCGGCAAGCCGTATTCAAAAACGGAAACTATGTTGAATATTTGCATAAGGGATAGGCAGTGCTGTCCAATGTTTTATTTAGATATTAATGTCCCAAAATTCCATAATTGAGGATTCTTTTGCAAATCGCTTTAGAATAGCTAGATGTTATTCATAATGTGTCATGATTTACGACAAAGAGAAGCCATAAGCTCAGTGACATCACTCGTAAAGTATTTAGTAAAGAAAGTCCGTAATAAAAATATCTTAATAAATAGTTTTAAAAAGTTGGAGTCTTACTGTTATCGACTATATACCTATTACTAAGTAAACTTTATGTCGAAGCGAAAGCAAAAGTCTTCCAAAAGAAAAAGGAAAACAAAGTCAAAAAATGACAAAAAAGACATTCTACCTCGTGTTATCGGGGAGAAGATAAGTCAACGAAAGGCTTCCAAAGGCAAAAAAGAATTGGGTATTCCTTCAAGCGTGGTTGCTCTTCCTAAAATACAAGACAAGCCAGAGAGCGTAGATAAGTCGTATGTTCTCATAGAGCAACAGATTCGTTCTAAAGATCTTGGTCATGTTGTTTTACCTCGCTTAAAGAAAAACAAAGATGGGTACATTCCAAAGCTTCAGTTGAAAACTTCCTCAAGGAAGATGACTACAACGAATGATATTGATAACTCAAGAAAAGACCACAAGGTAACTTTGGATATCCCTGCGAAGATGTCTAAACCATCAAAAAAGATTAAAAATGAGAACACAATTAAGATTAAAATACGTGTAAATGGTAAAGAGGCTTTAAGGAAAATGCCAAGAGCATGCGATTCATTGTCAGATGCGTCTTCCAAAGAAACGGTAAATCAGGAACCAGGAATGGATTATAAGGAAGGCGGACCTTCGGATGTTAAACCTGTGCTGGAATTATCAAATGCAGCAAGCAACGAACAAATAGAAGACGCACAGGAAGGCTTCCCGAGTTCTGGCCGTTTAATTAGAGAGCAGCATCAATTGGATTTGAGCAGAGACGAGAAGATTTTGACAGAGTCTTTGGCTTCTGATGACAGTCAAGAAGTCATTTTTGAAGAAATACAGGAATCGGGAACGGATAAATTCCATGCGCATCGACGACACCGTAGAAACAAACCCAAAGAGAAGTTCCATGCTAAATCAAAATCCAAGTCATCTACAGAAAAGGAAACCATCGATCCTGGATTATCAAAAGTCCACCCGGATCGAAAGCGTCTTTTAACGACAAAGGAGTTCATTGTAGAAGGTCTTGATAGAAGTAACCATGACAACAGGAGCCATCGGAAACCAAAAGCATTAGCCGTTACGATACGTAAGCCAAAAATATCGAGACGCAGAGAATGTGGTGATAATTATGGTATACATGGATGTAAATTGCTAGGGAATGCCATAGATTTGGATGAGTACGTGATAGCAATGGTCAGGTTGTATAACTGTCATGATGAAGTAACGCTTGATAGGGTAGAGGAGTTTCCTAGAGAACTACTATGTCAAGGTTCTTAGGAAAACATATTGTCTGATTGATGAGTACGTGACAGCGATGGTCAGGTTGTATAACTGTCATGATGAAGTAACGCTTGATA